GTATTGTCATTCTGGTTTGCATTTTTTTTTTGTACTTTTAAACTGCCAAATAAGTACGAATTACGAACGAAAATGAAACACAAAATAAAGATTACTTTGTAATCATCATAATTATGCAGTTTTTCGAAATCTTTTTTTCTTTATGTTTTCAAGATAAAGTTATTATGGGTAATGAAGGAGATGAATGTGACTCGTTAAATCTATTGACTGTCGCCAGTCAAACTGATGTTATTGCATTTTTACAAACACAAGCAGCAAAAATAACCGGTTTAAATTCAAATACTAGTGATGACGATGATGATGACATTTCAATATGTCATAGTTCTTTATCAAGATCTACTCAAATATCATCAAAAAATTTAAATAATCATAAAAAATCATCTTTAAGTCATTCTTGTTTTGCTTCAATATCAAATTCATCATCACAAAAACAAACTATTTCAGATGATTTAACTGAATTAAAATGGTTAAATACATTTAAATTGAAAGAATATAAAGATAATAAAACTAATAATAATAATAATAATAATAATTTAAAAGAAAAAATTTTTCAATATATAAATTCAAATGATGATCAAATAAGTAAATTATGTCATGAATTAAAATCTTATGATGATGAAAATTTAAATATAAATTCTCTATCATTTGGTGTTCTAATATTTCTTGCTTTATATTCTAAACGTTATGATAAACAAACACCATGGTTATTAACTTTAAAACAATTATATGAATATATACAAATAAATATAAAACAAATAATAAATAAACGTGGATGGAAAGATTTATTAAAACAAACATTAATTAATATTCCATGTTTTATTAAAACAAAACGTATTATACTTAAATCCCGTTCTGTATGGACAATTGATCCATATTATCGACCATTATTAACACGAGCTTATTTAAGTCGATTATCATTACAAATAAATAAGTAAGAAGAAGAAATTTGTTTTTTTCTTTTTGTCTTTATTTTATATTTAAAAAATATTATTTAATTAGAACAATATCTACAAATCAAAATGATGAGAAACATATATTTTTGTATGTTTATGATATTTTTTTTTTTATTAGTTCAATGTATTTTCTTTTTGTTTTTATTTAATTATATATAGAGATAAAAATTATTTGTCAGAATCAATTATTAATAATTTTGCACCTAAATCAACAGTGAAAACAAAAGGTAATTGTAAAGACATTTTATTTTTCAAAGAAAAACAGAATTTCTCAATATATTTAGTGCTTCCTCGTCTTTATGAACGACTTTGTGAAGAAAAAACAGAAAATGACTATGAAGATGAAACAGATTCAAATAGTATTGTTAAATATCAATGTACTCCAATTTCAGGTAAAGATAGTTATTAACACAATTCTTTCAAGATTAAAATGTAAAATACGATGCAGTCACTATTACTAATCACCGAAAGATTATGTTATTACATCTATTTTGCGACACTTTTATTTACTATCCTTTTACTTAATCCTATATACATGTAACAAGGAAGTAGTTCATATGTTATAACGAGACATTAGGCGTATGCGATATATGACCTTTACATGATTATGTCTGTCGTGATATGTGGGATAGAGTCTGTCGAGTTGACTTCGGATCTGATAGGCTCTAGTGGTTCGAGAAATATTTAGAGTGCGCTAGTCATCGAATGCAAGAAACCAGAAAGAAATATCTCGTATCTTCCAGGAGACTGTCCAATGCCAATAGGAAAAATTCATTGAAAATATAAAAGTACGATCTGACTTGATCCAGATCCAAAATTTTGAATGTGACGGACTCTGGTGTAGGATGTCCAGATTTGTTACTCGTGTATATCCACACTCGTGTCTCACGAAATATACAATGATTTTCTAATTTAAATTTGTACCATGTAGATGACTGAAAGTTTACAATAAAATACAGTATATCCTAAACGTATGATCGAAAAAGAAATATGAACAGCTGCTCTATTGGAATTCTGAAAGACTAAGACTTCGGTCTATATAAGTCTTGTTCAGAGAGCTTCCGAAGAATTATTTTTTGTATGATTTTGAAAAAAATAAATTTTGTCATAATTCGATGAGCTGTTGTTTGCAGTATTGAGCATACTTTTGTACTCAGTTTCACAAGCGCTATAATCTTCATTAACTTTTCATTAGCTACACTAACACTACATCTTTACGAGATGTTGAAATGATGCTCATAGAGTGTTGAAAAATAAGATAGAAATTGAGGTTATAGATAGAAGTGAGACTAATATTATTTAAACTCGATTTTTTTTGTAATGAAAGAAAGAAAGCTTTTCTTTTTTCTAAAACTTGACTAAAATCTTAAACATATCAATGAATTTGGATGCATATATAGTTTTACTGAAGTTGTCGACTTTCATTGTATTTGTGATAGAAAATTTTATTTATTATGATTTAGGCAAGCTTTATCGAATCCTGATATTATCTAAGGAATAGATTTTATTCTAATCAATAAATCAAAGTCGATAATTTCATTAAACCATCTATGTGTTTGATTTTCATGGATGCATTTTAACTTTGAATCAAGTTTGATCAAAAAACCTTCTTTTCGTGATTGAAAAATAATCGAATTATAATAGTATTATTCTCATCTATAGGTCTGAATTCAATTTCTATCTTATTTTTTAATTTTATAAACATCACTCTTAATTTTAAGTAGCACATCATACTGAATATTTGTCATCTATATTTATTTCCATGTAATTCTGTCATTTTATTTTATGTAATATCGTTCTTATTTTTGTTTTTTTTTTCTATACAGAAAAAGACTCCGAAGTATATATTCTGTATATGATTAATAACTTGTTATTAACCTTGCTCTATAAAAAATAAACACAAAACGAAAGAACATCAAAAATGATGTCCCTCGATTCGAATAGTAGGTTACCTTGTCAGCTCTGTTTGTTAGGTATTTAATCATTTTGTCGTGCAACGTACAATATATGCAACTGTTTAAATAAGCAAGAAATAATTTTGAATCGTATATTTCTGTAAAATTCGAATATTCAAATAGAAATTTAATTTTAATTTTTGAATTACAAGAAATTTCGATAGTATATAAAATTTTATTGTTAACATACATTTAAGAGATAATAAAATACATAAAATTCTATATATCATTGAGATAGAGATATCTTTAATTGCTTTATCTATTATTCAAAAGGGCACAAACGACCTCGTTCTACATTAACATCCAGTCCTCATCAATTTGCAAAAGGTAGGAAGTGAGTACAATATTAATTTTTTTTAATGAAGATATTTATTTAGATAACAATGAAAAATGTCATCTCTCATCGTCTTCAACATCAATAACAAAATTATCTAAACGAAATAAATTACATTCAGATATTGAATCAAAATTATCAATATTAAATAAAGAGTAAGTAATATTTAATTAACATGAAAAAAAAACCCAATAGTCAATAAAATGTTTTGTTTGTTCAGATCAACTATTATTACACCATGTCCAAGTATCGATCATATGTATTTAAATCCAATAGAACAACAAAATAATTCAAGTCTTAAACGAACTAAATCAATTGAATATAGTAAAAAATTATTTGTAAATATTTTATTTTGTTTTAATAATTCTTTTTTCAATTAAGAGAAACCAACAATTGATGACGATGATGAACGTGATAGTAATTCATTAATAAATTTAATTGATAAATCAACTATTACAACTCGAACTCAAATATCAACAAAACAAATTATTCAAAATATGAATAAAAAAGGTTTTGTTCAACGTCGAAAATCTTATTCATCGAAAAAACGTTATTCTCTTACATTATCATTAAATCGACCAAATACACGTATAAATAGAAAAATAATTGAAGAAGATTTAGAATTATTACGACACGCAAATAATAATTTACAACCACTTGATCTTTCTTTTATACCTTCTAATCAATCATCATCATTTAAACAATCAATACACAAAAACGAACGATTCATACAATAAATCAATCAATAAAAAGACATAGAAAGATTGCTAATGAAGATGTACTTGATTTGTCTCATACTTGAGACTAATACCTATTTTATATAGTTTTTAAGTGTGCAATAAAAACGTATTTGATAGACTAAAAGGAAATTAGAATACTGATGATTCATGTCACATTCACTGATTTAACGTGTCACATTTCCATGAATAATCACATTTTACATAGATATTTTTATCTAATTGCGCATTTAGTTATTTTTTTTTATTTTGGTTGCATTTTTATTCGTCTTATTCAACACTTTTCGAAAGTATCAGCCTTTTCCGTCATTTATATTTATCATTCTTCCGTCATGAGGGATAAAAGGAAATATTTATGACAAGTTTTCATATAATAAAAAATGCATAGTCATTTATTGATGTGTATGCAGAAGCCCAGTTATTGTTCTTCCGTTTTAGGTCATACTGTAAGTGCTCTTAAGAAAAACATTGTATTTACTTAAAAAAAACCGAAAAAAGAAAAACAAAACAGACGTCAAAATTTACACAAAAAAAAGGAAGTTGAAGACTATTGAAAAATTACTACTGTTTTATGGTATGATATAGTAAAACATTGTTTTTGTTATTTTTCTTCAGTCAAACAATAAAATTAAAATCTATATCCATATATTTGTATGTAAGCCTGAATGATATTTTTTTTTCTATTTTTATAATGCGTCGTTTGAGGTAATGCCCCAGCGAACAGAAAAAAAAACTTTTATAGATCACTTCCGTTTTTTTTCGACATTGATATAAAAATGAAATATTTACTTTATATTGTTTCATTTTTTGTGACATTACATCTAGCTGACAAGCAAAAATTATCGATTGTATTAAACAAGGATCAGATTCTTCATATAGTATGCTTAGCTCTTCCTTTTAACATTTAAACAGCCTATGATAAAGTTAAGTCTAGCTAGCAAACATATTTTTTTCATATATGTATATCTATGAAAAACAAGTAATTCTTTTTGTTTTCTATAGTTATATTATAAATTGTATTATGTCTGATGAAATCGATTCTTCACATTTTCAATCAACAGATCCTTCTAATTTATTGCAATCAACGTCAACAACAACTTATGACCTTTATCATAAAAGTATTTGTGGTTCGATTTTATATTGTTCACCAACAAATTCTCCGTCGGAAATCTTTTCTTATCTACTTCATGGAAAATTTGATGCATTCCGTCGATCTCTTGATGTCTATCATAAAGATATAATTCAAATAAAAAATGAATATGAACAAGTAAATATATATATATATTATCTTTTATTATTTGCATATATTGTTTTAATTATTTTTAGACTGTTTTACATATTTTAACTGTACGTAATTATCCATATCAATGGATTCGTTTATTATTGATGTTTGAATGTGATCCATGTTGTCAAGATATTGATGGATATACAGCTGCACATTATGCAGTAGAACGAGATGATGTTGAAATGCTTAAAGCTTTAACAATGCGTATTCATCATCAAATAAAAATCTTTTCAGAAGAACAAACAAATGCTTTATATGAACGTTGCTTAAAAGCTTTAACAATACGAGAAAAACAAGGTTTAACAGTATATATGCTTGCTTGTCACCATGAATCGATCAAATGTCTTGATTATTTACTTGAACTTAATATTAACGATGTCAATGTACAAGTATGTTTTTCTTTTTCATTAAATAGTTTTTTTCTTTTTGTTTTCTATTAAATTTAATTTTTCTTTTAGGATAATTTTGGTGACACATGTTTACATTATGCTGTTGCTCGTCGAAATGAAAATCTCGTCATTAAATTACTTGATCGATGTAATGCTGATATAAATGGCGGAGATAATACACGACCAAGTGTGCTTGATATTTTACAATATAATCGTGAGCAACGAAAACCATTTGATAGGACATTAGATGATTCAATCGAACGAATACTTGTAAGACATAAGGCTTCAAATCGTTGTCAAATACGACGTATTGTTAAAAAACGTAAACACTCGATTGATAATGACGAATTAGTTCAATCAAGTTTACGTTCTTGTACAGTTGATTCATCAACAAATTCAGAAATAGAAATAGCAAGAAATTATGCTCAAATTGCACTATCATTACAAAACCAAAGTAAACTTAATGATGCTCAGGAATATTATAAACGTGCAATGAACTCTATATCGAATAATAATCTTGATTGGGCTGATTATGCATTCAATCTTGCTCTTATACATACGATTCATGGAGAAAATGAATTAGCAATTGATTTATTAGAACAAGCATTAGCAGTACGAAAACAATTTGAAAATGAAACAGAAGATATTGAGAAAATTCAACGCGCTATCGGCAATATTCAAAAACAAAGATGACTGATATAAAATGAAACATTTTGTTTTAAAATTACCTAATCCAACATCAAAACATTAGTTTTCTTTTTGTAAATACTTAACTCAATAAAGTCAAATAAAATAGTTTTTTTTAAGCAAATTTTCTTCTATGATCAACAGAAATATCTTGATCTTTCAATAAAAAAAATTTCTGTATCTAAACATTTAAAAAAAAAGGAACAATTATTTGTTAATATATTTATCTTCTAAAAATTGAATAACACATGGATAAGTTAATTGAATAAGATCTGTCTTAGCTGAATTATAACATTGTTGTCGAATCGCTGTTGAACTAATATCAACAAGTTTCTCGCGTTCTTCATCCAATGTAATATAATATATATTCGGAGACTTCTCTTCTAAAGCTTTTATCCGATGATCAGAAGCACCAAGACGATACGTAACAGCACAAGCTATATTTTTTTCTGTTGCCAATTTTTCAACATAAGGACATTTATTAAAATGATCCAAACCACATACATAAACGACTTTTAATGGATGATTGAGCAATTTTTCAGATTCACATAGTTCAAAATTGAGAAATTCAGCAAGATTTTTGCTAACATCATCAAAATCAACGAATTCATTGAATTCGGATTCACCTTTACTTACAGAAATCCAAGATTTTGTATCTTCATCCGATAGAATAACTTCTTTACACAGTTTACAACGGTCTTCAGCTGAAATCCAATCGAACTGACCCAGTTTATTGCGAACATACGAATCACTTTTTTCAAAAAAATGAACATTTAATATTGTACGGTTGACACCAAAATTATTCAACAGAGTTTATTTTTAGTTTTTTTCTATGGCAAAGAATTCAAATATTAATTTCAATAGAGAAAATTCTTTCCAGAAAGAAAATAAAATTATTGTCAGATTTTCTAAGACAGTATTTCCACAAAACCAAAACCCTAAGTTTTTCAGCACCTAGAGTGCATAAATATAATATTATTTGGGCATCATGAAATGACAGAGCAAACGATTCTACACAAAATTAAATGTCTACAAATTTTGTACAGTCTTTTTAATATTATAAATAAAGTATCATTCTAAGAAGTTCTACGAAATTATTTTATATCAACTAAAAAACATCGTGAAGCACTCAGAAGCGCCTCATTTTGTAGAGAATTATTTATTCTATTATTTTATGTAATCTAAAAGCAACAGTTATATTTATACGTTCTATGTAATGAAAAACTAGAGCTTTTGCTTTCTGGAGACCCTATCGTTGTAAATCTGACAGTAGTTTTTATTTTCTTATTAAAAAAGGTTTCTTCGGTCTGTATTACTATTTAAACTCCTTTTAGCACTTAAATAACAGAGAAAAAAATTGAAAATAAACCGAGTGCAATCTGTTGGATACCCACTATATATATATACAGATTATGTTACAAGTTTTTCAGTATATCTTTACTATTCGGCACAACTTTATAAACTACATTTATTTTTTAATGACAGGTTCATAAACCGAGTTTTTAATCACACAAGCAAACTTTAGAAGTACCCTTTCAAAGCTATCACCTTGAATGGAAATGCAAAAATTTAGATTCTTTGAGTATGTAGAAAAAACACTAGACAACAGTGGGTTCTTTTAAATTACTTCTATTTCTCGAATCATTTTAATCTTTAAATTTTTTGGATCTTTAATTGCCATTTTATAGACATCTGTTTTAATTTATTTCCATGAAATGAAATTCAATGGTATCAAGTCTGGTGATCGTAAAGCTCATAAAATCGATGTATTTCTTTTAACTTTCAGGGCGTCAAACTTATTGGGCACAAAGTAGTGAAGTGTTTTGGAACAATATTTTGATACTCTATGTTGTGGGAAAATCAATTAGCAATTCTTTTTTTCTATAAAATCACATAAAAGAAGCTTTGAAAGATATCAAACTTATTTTGTTGACTAATCGCTGTATGAACAACAAAATGACTCAACATTCAGTCGTCTTGACACCACATATCACATAGTAAATTTTGCTAAGTGCATTAGAATTGCGAAGAGTATACGAATCATTTTAAGTCCCAATATGACAACTATATTTATGAATCACTGTCGAGAGTGACTATGTGAAATAACATTTAAGAAGATGAAGCAATTAAAAGAATAATCATGACATAATATCTTTTAACATATAAAAAAAAGACCGAAATTTTTATATTTTAGTTAGAAATGATAGGTTTGAAGAATCTTTGTATTAATAAAAACTCAGTGCATCCATCTATCATTTAAAAAATATAGTTGATAAAGTGATATCAAATAGTAAAGATAAATGGAAAAGCTTTTAGAAAAGGACTTTTAGGACATGTTGTATATATTTGAAGTTAACATTAAAAAAAACATACTGTGTAGGTGATAAATATGCAGCAAGAACATTCAATGGTTTCGATTTATGACGTTCAAGATACTCTCGAACAAGTTGAAGAGTTTTTATATGTGAACGATGTATTGGATTAAGAGAGCCGGTGATAAGCAAAACACAACTATAAAAAAAATTTTTGAAAAATAAAACATAATTTCAACAGTTGTTAAATAATTGATCTTACTTGTTTTCTTTTTCTTGGTAATTACGCTTCACACAATTCTCTCTTATTATATCTATATCTGTATTTGTTTTTGTATGCATCGATGTATTCATTTTCTTCGTAGAAAACGTTATGGTTGATAAGAATTCAAGAATACTCTAAAAACTTTCAAGATGTCATAGTTATATATGCCAAGTGTCAATGGAGAACTGATTTTAGACATTTCAGTGAAACAAATGCAGCAGTGACGTTTGACTGGTCTTGTCCGAATGTCTTAATTTTTGTTAGAGTAAAAATAGTTAGCAACGATTTATTTATTTTGCTTCGATTGTGAGCATAAGAAGACGACGAATGAAAAGAATACACATCACTAGAGGTCACACAAAGCCGAATCTCTTGTACTATATTCTTCAAAAGGTATTTTCTCTCTTACTCTTGGAATAGTGCCTTGTATTCATCAAGAATATGTCCTATATGATATATTTTTGCAATGCTAATATTAGTGTTTTATCCCTGTTTTCTTTTGCTTTTGGAAGGGCAATTAAAAATTTTCTTATATCGCACGTTTATTCACACAACCAACGTTTTACTGGCAGTGTAGTAGCGCTTACGACTTTTAGTTTCAACAATAAACGATTGCAACAAATAGTGTCTATCAGAATTCGAATGATTTATAAAAAAGAATTCAAATTAATCGGATGAAAACAGTTTTAAAATATGTTTTAATAATAAAAATTTATCCCGTAATTGATCTAGTTTGAACCCTGTAGCTAGTACAAGCGTCTCATATGCATCAATATAAACAAGGTGCATCGACAACAACTCAATTCTACCTGTTTTAATAGACTTCAAAAATATTCAACCGTTTCGATACAATACACCATCATACAATACTTTCAAAAAAACCTGACGCCACTTTCTTGGTAGTTATCATATAGATCAGAAAAGTGAAGACCTATTTTTAAGAGCATGGACACATAGCATTTAATACAATAGATATAAGCTCCAAGATAGGTATAAATCAGTCCAAATTAGTCGACTGGGTACAGATTTAGTGTTCTAGGATTAATCTTTATTGGTTCTTGTTCTATAACATCTGAT